CACCCCTACGAGAGCTTCTGCTCCTCTCCCAGGGCACAGWTAATCCCCAGGGGAAGCTTGGGACAGCATCTCCTCCACACTGCATTAAAAACACAAACAAAACCCCGGGAACACCACAGGAGGGAACCAGGGAAGAACTCCAGGCTTGGTGTCTGTTCCCAGACCCTCGGGCAGGGCAGAGGCAGCAGCAGCAGCATCCCTGACCCCAGAGCATCATCCCTGCCCCCAGAGCATCATCCCTGCCCCTACAGCAACATCCCTGATCCCAGAGCAGCATCTCTGCCCCCAGAACAGCATCCCTGCCCTCAGAGCACCATCCCTACCCCCAGAGCATCCCTGCCCCTACAGGAACATCCCTGCCCCCAGAGCATCATCCCTGACCCCAGAGCAGCATCCCTGCCCCCAGAGCAGCATCCCTGCCCCTACAGCACCATCCTTGTCCCCCAGAGCAGTTGCCCACCCTCCCCTTGGTGCCCAAGCCAGTCTCTGGTGCTGAGCAGTGTTTCATAACCACACACAAGTGGAGTCAGAGCCCTCTGCAATGCATCAGGACTGCAGCTCCTGCCCCGAGCACTCAGCACCATCCCCGAGCCTCCACCCCACACTGATCCTGTCCACAAGGCACAAACGGGCATTTATCTGCATTTGCTGCCAGCAATTATCCCCAGCAGGACATTCCAGCCTGTCCCAATGTGCTCCTTTGTCACCAAAGGGCCACAAGTACCTTGTGCCAGAACATCCAGGGCTGCAGAGCACAAGGACACAGCAGACACATCCCACGAACACCGAGCTCTCCTCYAGCATGACACAATGACCTTGTTTTGCACAGCTTCACATCAAACATTTTGCCCTTTCCCCTCCCTAAGCATCACATCCCAGCCGAATCCTGATCCTGCCACATCCAGGGAGGAGCTGGCTGACGTTTATTGACAGTCTGTCACCTCACTGCAGGAAATTCGGGGCTCTGGGCTGAGCTGGGAGCTTGGCTCTTTATCTTTAGTCAAATGGATTGCTCCTTCAGAGTGCCTGGCAGCTYGCAGGGCTGGAGAGCCAGGCAAACAAGCAGGCAGTGATGGAGATGATAAACACAGCTCGAGTGTTTGCATTTGTCACCTGTTTATGGCCCATGTGACAGGATAAACCTGGCAGCTGAGATGGATCTGGCCATTGCCATCCTGATGGAGTTCAGCAGGCACAGAGCTCCCAGGAACACTCCCCAGTGTGAGGACAAGGATTTTGTCCCATCAGCACCAAATTTTGGTCACACCCTGACCAAAAAGGGGAAGCAACTGGAAACACCAAACCAGAACTGCAACCTGTCTGAGGAGGAGAAAAGCCCTTGTAGAGACATGTAAGTCACTTGGAAGTGTGTGAGGGGAAGGAAAGCTTCCTCTGACTGTGAAATGTTCCACCCAGAGCTGGCGCTCACAGKATGGAGCGAGACAGAAATAGCTGCACTATTTCCATGTAGGAGCACAGGTTTGCATGGCACAGAGGRTGCAGGGTTGGCTCGTGTTTCCAGCCTCGATTCATCGTATTTTGGGATGAGGAGCGACCGTGGGATTGAATACTAACGATCATTTCCTTTTTAATTAACAGAGGTCCTACTCCAGGATGTTACAACTGAGCCTGCAG